GTTCCCAACCTGCCCCCGGCCTTCACCCCCCTTCTCTCTGTGTCCATAGGCAAGATCTTTGGTTCATCTCTGCCCTCCCTCCCCCCACTTCCCTTTGAGATTCCTCGTTCTGTTCCATTCTTCCCTGCCTCTGACTCCATTTTATTCACCAGCATATTTTGTTCATTCGATTTCTTGGTTTATTTTGATTTTTTTAGATTCAATGGTATTGCTTGTCATTTTATTGTTTTCAGGTATTCTGTTATAATGCAGTAAAATTCAGGCCGATCAGATGGGAATATTCATCGGATAAGTATCTGAAATAAGCCTTACAAGGCGGGGGGGTGGGGAGGGATTGCCACGGCCCTTGAAGCTGGGAAGTTGGCCGAATCCGTGAATATTTAGCAAGATGTTTTCGTTTTGTGATCATGTTTGCGGTGTAGAGCCGGTGGGTTCTTGGAAATGACCTTTTCAATGCACAGCTTTCTACCCCGGGGACAATGACCTGCAGGCTGGGCTGGTTCGCCCTCAGGAGGGCTTTTGCGAGCGAGGAGAGGCTGCCCACTCTGTGCCAGGCCTGCCAGGGCACAGCTCACGCCCTCTCACACCCGCCAGAGCCAGGGGGCGAGAACTGGGTCTGGAAATGAGGGCTCTCTGTGCTGTGAGCTGTGAGCTGAGCTCAGGCCTGTGCCCAGTGCAGACAAGCCCGGGAATATGCATTAAAGCAATTCCAAGGGCAAACTATGCTCCGCGTTCACCAGCTACAGCCAAAAAGCCCTCAACAGCCATATTCCTGCGATCGCATAAGCCATCTACGCATTTCTATTGTGTAGCTTTCCCCCTTCTCCGGGCACTTGCTTCTTCCTGATGGACAAGGTTGTAGGAAGCTCAGAAAAGGCTAAACATTGGGCCCCGGCCGGTTTCGTTCAGTGGTTAGAGCATCGGCCTGTGGATGGAATGGTTCCGGGTTTGATCCCGGTCAAGGGCACGTTCCTCAACTGCAGGCCCTGGTCAGGGCTTGGGCAGGAGGCAACCCATCCATGTGTTTCTCTCACATCGCTGTCTCTCTCTGTCTCCCTGTCTCTCTTCCACTCTATCTCTAAAAATCAACGGAAAAAATGTCCTCAGGTGAGTATTACCCAAAATAAAATAGAAAGGAAAAGAAAAGGCGGACCATTGGAACTGACTTAGCTGGTGGCTCCCGAAACCCTCAGAGTCGAGAGCGTTGAGATGAGCGGCCGGCCTGGACCTTGTGACAAAGGCACCGCTTCGGGGAGCGCGTCTCCGATCACAAATACAGGCCGAGTGGGGACGCGGGGCCTCTATGGACGGTGTGGAGGGACGTACATACGTTAGGACGGGGGGGGGGGTCTTTTTTCTCTCTTTTGGAGATTTCTCTCACTTCCACACTTGCAGCTCTTCCTCTCACGTTGTCCTGGCAACCGTGAAACACAAGAGGAGGCACTGAGTGTTTTTCTATGACATAAGCTGTGGCCCTGGCCACCTCCGCGGGCCGGCTGGGCTGACTTTGGCAACTGACCTGCTCTGGTTGCCTGGAGACCCTCCTGATGGGACAGGCCACCTTTTCCGCGGCTGTTTGTTTTTTCATTTTTTTCTATTTTTATTTTTAAAAATATATTTTATTGATTTTTCACAGGGAGGAAGGGAGAGGGATAGAGAGTTAGAAACATCCATGAGAGAGAAACATCGATCAGCTGCCTCCCGCACACCCCCCACTGGGGATGTGCCCGCAACCAAGGTACATGCCCTTGACCGGAATCGAACCTGGGACCCTTCAGTCCGCAGGCCTGCGCTCTATCCGCTGAGCCAAACCGGTTAGGGCTCATTTTATTTAAAAAAAATTTTTTTTATTGATTTCAGAGAAGAAGAGAGAGGGATAGAAACACCCATGATGAGAGAGAACCATGGATGGGCTGCCTCCTGCACCCCCCACCTAGTGGGGCCTGAGCCCCAAAACCTGGGCATGTGCCCTGATGGAGGGGGAGGGGGGAATCGAACCCGTGACCTCCTGCTGCATAGATTCGGTGCTCAGCCGTGGCCGAGCCCAGCCCCCTCCTCCTCCCCACGCGAGGGCCGTCCACTGAGCGCTGGTGGGTCCCCTGTGCCCCCGACAGGTTGCAACGAGAACGAGGCCGACCCCCTGGACCGCGACCAGCAGCCCTACCCGCCCTCGCAGAAGACCAAGCGCATGCGCACCTCCTTCAAGCACCACCAGCTGCGGACCATGAAGTCCTACTTCGCCATCAACCACAACCCGGACGCCAAGGACCTCAAACAGCTCGCCCAGAAGACCGGCCTCACCAAGCGAGTGCTGCAGGTAAGAAAGAAGGCGCCCTCCTCCGCCGTGCACCCCCCTACCCCCCGAAAAAAACACCCACCCCGCTGTCCCCCGGCCGGGGCGCCAGGTCTGCCCCCTGCTGGCCGGTGCAGGGATTGCCTCCACCGCGTCTCCTGAGCTGACCTTAGTGATGCCCCCACAGGGGGTGCTGAGCTTTCTGGGGGGCTCCCCCGAAGGTGCCCAGGAGAGAGCAGCATCTTTAAGAATGCAGCCAGGTCCCCCCGCGCCCCCAGAGATGGAGAGTGGGGTCCTCCAGCCAGCACAGCTGCCTCCCTGGTCTGCAGGCCTCAGGGATTTTACTTGCACAAGCCGTGGCTTTACTTGTTATTTTCGTTATTTTATTTTTATCTGAGCTGTGGCTGTCGAGGGGGGCTTTCACGCTGGGCTCCCTCACAGACTTGTGGGGCACCCTGCCTGGCACACTCTTGGCAGCCAGCTCACGGGCTGTGTTACCACCTTCCAAGTTCAGGTCCACCCCCCCC